CGCCCGGCACGCAGCCGGCACCGAGCGTGGCCGCCCGCATCCCCAGCGCTACACGGGGCCCACGCGTGCAGCGGAGGGGACCCTGCGGGCAGGAAAGTGAGGCCAGGCTGAGGCTGCAGCTCCTCACAGCCATCCACGCAGGAGCTGGGAGCCCACAGGCAGCGCGGCCTTTCCTGTGGAGACAACGGCTGCCATTTGTAGTGTGAAGTGCAGCTGCAAAATGCTTAGAAATTGTTAACTTTTGGCTAGCCACAAACTGCAACAGCACCATGGCTGCACAGAGGACACAGCACAGTACGCAACCCCCCGGTTTAGTGCTAATGCCCACGTTACAAACAGGCCTGACAACACTGCTGACAGGAGGAAGGGAAGCTGACTCAGTTTGCTCAGTGCTCCACAGCCCTTCACCCACACTAACCTCCTAACCCCTTGTAGCACAAGAACCAGAAAAATAAACTTGAAACAAGACAGCGTCATTTTCTATTTGAGGTCTGATCTGTCACAAGCAGCTGAAGACAAAGAGGGAGAGAGCAAGCCCATGGGAGGGCCAGGGAGCACTACCTCGCCAGGCTGCTGCACTGCCAAGGAGGCAGCAGGAACTCTGGTCAGGATCTCCCGTGTGCTGCAGTTGCATCCTGCCCGCTGCCAAGTGGGCACCAACAAGCTGGCACCACCAAGCTGGCTGCTGTGCACAGCATAACTGCTGCCCTGACTGTTCAGCTTTCAAAAGAAGCAGAGACCATTCAACACTAAACCTCAAACTATTGCAATAAGCATCAGGAACAAAAGCAAACCCTAACAAAACCCACAACCCTCTCTTCCCACCCAGAAAGTGCTGGTCCTGTTTCTTCCACAGCCCTGTTGTGAAAGTGGGCACCAGTCACTTCGCTCCAATATCCTCGCAGCTCTGAATTTGGGAGGAAGGAGCTGTCAGCTGGGACTGAAGCAAGTACATTCAGAGCAGAGGCTGATGAAGAAGGACAGCAGAACCCGAGCACTCCGTATTTCACATTACGGAAAGCTTGGGCAAGGAATTTGAGTTCTCACTTGCAAAACCTGCATCAATGCCATGGTGCCATTTTAAGTGTAACCTCTTGTGGGCTTTGTCTTTTGATTTAAAAACTTCTCAGGGCACAAGAAACATAATGCAAGAACTAACTCCATAAAGAGCAGCGACTGCAAGCCGTGCAGGGTTTAGTGTATCTCAGGAAGACACCAGTGTTAAAGATCTTCCAAAATCTTATGAGGTTCATCAGTACACCCTCCCTTTCTAACAGGAGCCTCTATCTTCATGGGATACTTGGAATGAAGCTTTCCCCTGCACTATGCAAGCTGAGCACTTGTTGCATCTATACACTTTACCCTTTTAGAGTCAGTTGGGAGACTCACCTCTCAGTAAGTCCGAGAGTGGAGGACCACAATCCTCTGGAATTGTGTAGTCACCTTTCCCGATGTTTTCAAATAATTTATAGATATTATCCCCTTCAAAAGGGTATAGACCCGTTGTGATGTTGTATCTGTAAAGGCAGAAGGAGAAGGTATATGAGAAAAAGCACACAGAAGAGGTGTTCAGTTCTTATGTGGCTATGTAACCAAAATGAAGCCAAGAGGAAGCTAAAAGATGAATATTTGACAGTATTTGGAATGCTTCTTTAAACTTTGCCTTCCTTTATCACAGTCTCTTCATTCACATGAGTCAAAACCACCAAGACGTCTCCCTGACAGGCTGGGATGGAAGAAACTTAAAAATAAATACTAGAGGTATTTGTGGTTTCTATTATTACAGTAGCTGTGCATCACAGATGCTGAGAAGTGGCTGGCAGAGTTACGCACTGAGAGTAAAGATTACTTTCCTCAGAATTACAAGCACTCTGCAGAACACATTCCCACCCAAAGGGGGGATCAACACACATACACCTTCCTGGCTCCCCCAACAGCATACAGAGCAGCAATGATAGCAGGTAGCACAGGACTGAGTTATTTGGGGGCTCCTAATTTTTTCGTTGTGATTCCTGGATGCTGCACGGGCACTTACAGTGTGACCCCTGCGGACCAGATGTCTACTTTAAAGCCTGAAAAGGTGTCAAGGCCATTGGCAATTTCTGGTGGCTGGAATGCTGGCGACCCTTGGCTCGTTCTGCACGTGTCATCCTCTGCAAACGGATGCAATGCCTGCAGCAGAAGAGAAAGTTTGAACCTAATTGGTCAAGGCAGACAAACTGTAACTGTTAGAAAAGCTTCACCTGGGGGGGGAAAAAAAGGAATGCTCTGCCACTGAACATCTACTTATGTATCATAAGCACATGCCACTACAATTGCCACATGCCATCAGTGACAATTCTTGCACCACTCCTACCTAGCTAAGACAGTTTTCATGTGGAAGGATAAGGTTATATAGCTTATCACCATTTCACCATGCTTTTGGGTTTGTCTAAATCTTCCCCTCTGTGCTTCCCAGATGGAAGTCTTGTGCTATTATCAACAAAAGTGTTTTGTCGATTACAATAAATATTCAGAGTCACCCTAGAGCACTCTGCAAGTTTAACCGAACAAGCCTAAATGCACAATAAATCAAATGACACCACAAAGGTGACCTAAATCTAGGATGTCATGCTTGCCACATTCCTGACTTTGCCACAGTTCTCACATACCTCTGCTACGCCTAAATCAGATATTTTTAGCGTCCCATTGGTTGTTAGCAGGAGGTTCCCTGGTTTTATATCCTTGTGGACAATCCCTTGGCTGTGCAAGTATTCTAGGCCGTCTATAAGCTGACAAAAGTACCTGCAGAAAGAGTTAGAGGAAAAAGGTCAAGCACTTCCATAGACAAAGACTACATGAACTACTGATAATACATAAAGAGTGCTGTTATTGGAAACAAGTCAGAAATACATTTACATTTGATGCTTAGGAACTTAAGATTGAACTGTAGTCTATAAGAAATGGTACTTCACCTTCCGACAGTCAGAAGTTACCTGCCAGAGCCACGTCAGACTTGGGGCTCCTCCACAAGCCTGCCTGTCCTGCAAGCACTGAGCACCATGCTGACACAGACCTGATGGTTAATTCTGACATCTGCTTTAGTCTAGGCTATGGTAAGCTACCAAAGATGCTCTTTCAGTGGCATAGCTTGCTCTAACAGGGGGTAGGAAAAATGTTTCCTTTAGCCAGTAGAAAGGAGTCTTACTAGTACAGCTTACCGGCCGAGCAGAGGTAACGTGATATGGTCAGAGACTATGGGCAGGCCGTTACTGTAACGTAGCAAGCACTGCACACTGACAGCCTGGCAACCATCGTGCATGCAAGTTTTTTATCTCATAACATCCAGAAATAATACGTGACTTGATATGCCTGTACTTCACTTCGGCTATCTGTCATCTTGGATACCTTTTTTAAACAAAATGAAAATATGTAGTTACCACAGATCTGCTGGTCTGCACTGACTGGATATACATGACAATCTTCCTGTATCTATTTCCAGAATTCTAAGGTTCCTTTACTTGCAGAGTGAAAGGGGCTTCAGATTATCCTGTCTACTAACTAAACACGCTAACAGATCATGCTGGATATTGCCAATCCTTAATCCAAAGACCTTTAATTTCTTTTCTACGCTGAACTGTATGGCTTGCCTCCATTTGGGCAGGACAAGTCCTTATGGATCCCTCCACCACGCTGAACGGCAGAGCTGCAGGAAAGGGGCCAGGAAGGGTTGTCATGCGTCTTGTGAGGCAAAACAAAAAGTAACAGAAAACTCAATAGATAGTTTTCCTTCCAAGAATCGAAGGGCTGTCCCTGCCACCATCTCATTAGTTTTTCATTTTTTCCATGGATGTGAAAGATCTGTTATTACACCAAGCCAGTTTTACTTTAAAGTGTAGCCAGCAGTCTGAGCAACAGACTAAAACGTGCTCTTGAATTCAACAGAGCACAGTGGTGAGAGGCTAACGCAGCCTATGGAACACAACCGTACTTACCCATGAGCCTGAAAAACTGGAAACCTCTTTTCCGGGACACTGTCCAGCATTTCCTGCATCCCACACACACAGTACTCCATCACCATATACGTGAAAGCAGAGTTAAGGAAGCTTCGAGGTTAAACGCTTCTCAGGTGAACGCTGTGCGAGGACTGCAGCCCCATTCCAGTGCGATGGGAGAGCTGCCGCACAGGCAGCCCCGTCACCTGGTACACACACTCGAGAGGTAGAGCCTGAGCTGCGCCTCCCAGGTAGTTGCCTTCCCCAACTAACAGGAGCAGGCAAAGAACCCATGAGAAAATTCTTCTGCTTAATGACCAGCTGCAACTCCGTGATCATCCCTGAAACAGGATGCGAACTCCACAGAAAGTCAACTGAAGATCTCACAAGAATGACAGGTAGAGGATAAAACTCTATGGAAAGCCCTGGCAGAAGAGCTGTAGGCTGTGTTGTGCCCTCCCAATACCCTGGCTGGTCCACACTTGAAACAACAATACCCTGGCTGGTCCACACTTGAAACAACAGTGAGCTCCTATCACCTTCCCCAAATTTCATTAGTCTTCATCTCCTGTTCCAAAACAATACGGCTGTATGCAGTACTTAACAGCTGCTGCTTACCCCATGCCCATGGTAGCAATTCAGGAACTGGAGAAAGGATCCCTGGAGAGCTGGGAATCTTTTTTGAAACTGTACGGATAAAAAAGTCACAACAGAATGCCAAGAACCGGTGGCACTTTTTAGCAATTGTTCCCTTGCAGCATATTCTAGTTTTCATCTCCTTAAGCTTTAATGTTGGGGCCAAACAACGGAACCTACACCACTGCCTAAAGCAACAATTGCCTCTGTTTTCCTCCTCCCTCTCCACGGGGTTTCAGAGGCAGCCTGTGCACTGAGAGGGGCTGCAAGAACAGACCCTGAGACATCTGGTGGCTTTGCCAAGAGAGTGCACCTTCAAGATAGAGAGAGAAAAGCATGACTGTCAGGCAGGCCAGTTCTCCGGTAACACAAAGCCTTTCTACAGTCACTCTAATTATTCCTGGCAGATGCCTTCTTAACTTAAGCCTAAAATAAGTTGCTTATGTCCCAGGATGCCATCTTAACTTTTGAGGCGGGAGAGGCTGAAGAGATGACCTGCACTTTCAGCAGAATCTGTGCTCTAAAGATTGTATTGCCCTTTTGCAGCTCATTCTATCCAGGAGCTCAAAAACAACGTGCAAACTCATTACATTCGTGCTACATTCCCCATGTGAGCTGCTCTTCAGAGGGATGTTAAAGTGCCATAAAATTTTAGGACGGGCACAATGCCACCCAGGAAATCAGCAGAAGCCAGAATAGCAGAAAAAGTTCCCAAAATTCTTCCCTACTGTTTCTTACTCTGGAAGTAATCTGTGAACTAGTTGTATCAGAGAGATGTGGAAGACGTCAACTCTCTCACCTTCAAGAGAACACTACTAACAGTAGATTATACAGACTAGCTCCTGGGAAGCAAACCCCAGCTCTCATTCCCATCTACAAAGGACAGCCTGGTTTTGGTTTCATTAGCTGCCAGGCTGCTTTCACCCCTCTCTCGTCACTGAGCCATCTCTGGTCGATCAGCCAGATTAGAGTACAAACTTTCAGGCTGCAGCAGATCTATTACAGGTGCCCCAAGAAGACTGAGGCTCTCAATTCTTCTAATCAATAGGGTTCTGCTCCCATGCACAACTGCACAAACTGGTAACAGGAGCTGTCAGAGGGTGCCAGCTGGGATGCTGCTTATTGAACCGGGTTTATGTTCTGCCTGGATTAGTTGTCCATTCATCACCAGCTCTGCATTCCCAGCCACAGCAGGTCATCAGAGCAGCCCATTAAATACGAAATGTAGTTGATATTTTTAATCCAGTCATCGTGGCTTTCTCTTTACCAAAGAAAATCATTGAAGGCTTTGACTAGACAGGCAAGTTGTTTGAATGCTATCTTCCCAAGCTGAGGCCTGCAGTTCACTCCTATCAGGAACAGAACACTCAGGTGAGAATAGAATCCTTCCTCCCTTCTACAGGCCCAGTTTCAAATGCCACAGCAGTCATTCTGGAAATGAGAACTTTTTTTTTATTAGTAAGGGAGAAGTTGCCATCCCTCCCCTGTACCCCACTCAACCTTCGCTTGTATTGCTTCCTGCAAGGCACCAACATCGACACATGCACGGCTGCACAGCAACATGGGCAAGGGAACTGACCTCTGGAGAAGCCAGCCTGAAAAGAGAGCTACATCTCAGCTGCATCTGTTCCCAAATCCGTGGCACCTGTACGCCACATCCTCAGACATGCTGCCAATGAGAAGCTGGAGAAAAGTTAAGCAAGAACATGATCACGGATAAGTTCCCAGTCCCAGCCCCAGAGAAAACAGCAAACTTCTCCACATACTGCCACTGGCATACACTGAATGAGCAGGTGTAGAAACAAGCTCTCCAGAGCGTAGAAGCAGGTAAAGATAAAAATAGTGAAGTCTTTCCCCTATACTTGCAAGGGGAAAGTAGTGAAAACCAATTTGTTCTTTTTCAAACACTGCTGTTCGGAAAGTAAAGTGAGGAACACGCCTCCTGGTGAGGTCACGGTGCTGAATGACCATCAGGGTTGTCATCACCGGTTACGAACACACGAGGTCTCTCTTGGGCTCTTTTTCCCCATGCTGCTGCTTTAGCATCCCAGCTTCTTATTAATTAAGCAGTATCTTTCTATAGACAGTAATTGAATTACAGTCCCTTCAGTCTGTTAAAGCTACAAAACACAAGCAAAAGTTGTCATGCTTTTTTATACTAATGATTTGGTGGAAGAGTATTTGATCTAATTAAAGCACACAATTAAATTACCCATTTTATGAAGTACTGTAATTGGGAGACAGTATTTAGAAAACACTGTCGAAAATAAAAGCAACCATTTATAACATGTGCTACAACAGATCAGCTCACTAAGCTTACAAACTGGTTCAAGTCAAAGTGCACCCAGAGTGGCAGACTCATTAGAAACCATCCAGCTACTCACGTGGAAGTTCAGGCATGTAATTACATTGATTAGCATCTCTGCGTACGTGGGGGGACAGTGCACTGGAACAGCAGGTTAGAGTTTGAAAGATGCACTGAGATCACGACCCACAGATTTGATTCAAGAGCCGAACTGTTTAGTCTCAAAAAGCCAAGCTGTAGATCTCACAGGAGCTATATGCTTGCAGTCTCTCCTGCCTGTTAGGAGCTTTTGGTCACTTACAGCACTATATGAGGGACTTTCACATGAACAACAAAACAGAGGAGGCTTGGGCAGGCTCGGGACCTCATCTTATCTTGCTAAGGATAACCAAAGCATAGCGACTGCCCACAAAAGGCAGTGCTGCAGCAGTACAGACCTCCAAAGGGAAGGAAAGAGTTGCAGGCATCTGCATGCCTGCCGATGAGTTCTTCTTCTTTTGAGGGAAAGGAAAAAAAACCCTAAATCATTGCCAAGGACTTAAAGGAAAAAAAGCATTACAAAAATTGATTTCACATAGCATAGACAAAGCTACATCTTCAGGAAGAGAAAGCACTAACATATACCACTGCTAGGACAGGAGGTTAGAAGTGACGGATCCACAGCTCTTTTTTGGTCTCTGAGTTGCTGAAGGTCACACAATAAAAGAGTATTTGAGGGCCAGTTCTCCCCTAGCCCAGCCCTGCGTCTGTAACCTGGGGACAACGTTTCCTTTCCTAACTGGGAAGCCGGGACACTGAAGAAAACGTACTTGTGTGGAAAGTATTCCAGACATGCAGTGTGTTTAATACCAAGGAAAGCAATTTTAAGCTTAAGAAACATTCAAAAGGGCCTTAACAAAAGCAGAACTATAATGATTCAGCACTACAGCAGAGAACAACAGGAATTCAAACCTTATTAACAGCTGTCTGAAAAAAAGGATATATTTTCTGCTTCTCTTCATTGTATAACACATCTACCAACTGGATAACATTTTTGTGCCGCAATCGTCGCAGGAGTTGAATTTCCCTGCAGGAAGAGAAAAGGAAAAAAGTTATGGTTAAAAAGCCTATTTCCTTACTACAGAATGAAATGAACGTTTTCAAAATCACAAGGATTTTAAAAACACTTCAAACTGCATTAGTCCCTGCTGCTTCAGCTAAGACTCCCTATATACACTGCTTGACAGACGCTTCCCTCCAACTAAAGCTTTTCTAACAACGCTGGACCATTGGGACTGTCGCTCACCATCACTCTCCTCAGTTAACCCCCTAATGATGTACTACATTTGTGTTTACCATCATATCTAGGACAGCCACTTCCCAGACAAAGCTTTTATGTTTGCACTTCGTGTTTCTTTATATCGAAGTGTAATCTGTAGTTACAAGAGCAGAAATAAATTCACTTGGGCTTCCAGCCTTCCTCCTTCAGGGTATGTTTTTATCAGCATCATGACCAGGAATGACACCCGCAGAAGTCAGTGTAAAGCAGCGTCGTGCAGTTAGGTGTGTGCTTGTGTTGCAGGCAGTGCCCGGTGCCAAGCGTGGCAGAGGCGTTAACACACTACATAGCCTGTTTCAGCACAAACTCTGTTATTTAGCCAGGAAGTTACTGGAATATTAGTCACTTGACAAAAAAGAAATAGGAAGTTTCTATACCTAACAAGCAATTCCTTCTGATAGTTGTATTGTGAAAGGATATAAGTCATTTAAACAAATATAAAACCATCAGAAACTGGCTAATCTACTAAAGACATGAACAAATGAAACTAAATTGATTTTTTATTATACCACATGAAATTCTTCTGAAGGGGGGGCTGTTCAGCACAACCTGATTTTCTACAGAACCTATAAACCATAGAAAAACCAGGAGAGGTACCTCACTAGTCAAGAGACTAGTGCATCACCAGCAGCACAGCATCTGGCACAATCTGCAGCCAGAAGAGGGAAGACAGTCAAGGTGCCGAGGCTGCCGAAGGGCAGCGAGTCCCAATGCTCCCGACCCAAGAAGCCCGGCACCGAAAGCTGCCTGTGGCCAGGAGATGAGCGCAACGGGTGTCCGAGCTGAGGAATGGAAGAACTCCAGAGAAGTCCAGAGGCTGGAGATGACAACAGCCTCCCAGCAGCCCCAAACACTTCCACAGCACCCCTCCAAGCTCTCCAGAGACCTCCCACAGCAACAGTGGGGGCTAGTCAGGCAGCTTCACGGTGTCCTTTATTAAAGCTACAACAGGATCCAAACTGATCTCGAAATCTGCACGGCCTCACAAAGCAGTTGCAAGATATACTAGTGTCACCAAGATGCAATATTAAATCCCAATTTCAAAGTCAAACAAAACAGACTGTTTCAATTCAAACCTTTCTTGTCAAGTAGCCACTCTGGTGTGGTTTTAGCCCACCCACAGCAACTACTGCCCAAGGACGCAACAGACTGATCAGCAGAAGCGAGGTGTGACAAAACAGAGTCCCAGTTTGTTTAGGTTGCTTACTAGCTGCCAATATTCATCCACTACGTGGGTTGCCCTCACTCTGCTAGGACCCATCCACTCTTCAAACATATCCTCCAAGAGGGGCTTGGCTTCCAGCAGAATTCAGAAATTAAGTGACCAATGTAAGAATTGTAACAGTTTGTCCCAAGAATGAGTCCAAAACAGAAGTTCCAGCTAATAACTACATTTCTTCCACACTTTAGTCCTAACTTCACTGACCGGTTCAGAGATCTGAATTGAATCCTCTGTTCGTAGAGGATAAATAAAGTAAAACTGAGTGAGGAGACCTCTTCCCTTGGCCATGAAAACAGACCCTCGTATGTCATCTCATACCAGTCCTTTCGGTCTTTGTCTCTTGGGATTTCGAACTGTGCTTCAAACCACATTTTAGTATCTTTTGCATTAAACTCAGCCTGCAGGATCCCACTGGCTGCCAGCTGTGGAGCAGAGAAACAGGAGGATCAGGACGGTCAGGTCAGGGTGGTTCTGTCAGTGCCTGAAGTGCAGGGACTGCTCTTCACTTGGCTCTGCTGCTGCTCCACGTGGGGCTTGTGCCAAGCTGTAGGCGAACTCTTCCTCCCAGATTCTTTCCCTTGGTGTTTGCTAAGATGCTTTAAGAAGCAGAGTTACATTTTGACAGTTAGGACTCCTGAAAGCAGCATTACAAGGAATTCAGAGCACAGCTTGGGAAGCAAGAGCCTCTGCCCAAACACATGACACGCCGAGCTCAGAAAGCCACTCGTCCCTCATCTGCACAATTAGGCAGCTTCTAGTAACAAGCTGTGGCCAGTACAAAGGCTTGTTGATGCATCACATCTGATTAACAAACCAGTAACTGCTCCTTC